TGGGATCCCATGGTAGCTGCAGCATGAACGTGGAGGAGACCCAGGAGAAGATGACTGTCCTCCAGAACTTCCTACAGAACAGGCAGGAAGTCCTGGATAACCCCTTGGCCTTCGTCGTGACATTCAGCCAGAAATCCATAAAAACAACCACATAGATGGATAGAAGAACGAAGTGCCTGTCCCATGGATTGGCCTCTCAGATGCCCTCGTGGAATATGAAGAAGTTTTACAGAATTTCTGTAAATTGGGGAATTCACAGAGCTCCAGCTATGTTCTTGGGAAAGGCATTAAACTATTCTTTATATTATATAGCCAGTCCCTTCACTTTTTGCAGAGTAGCAAATCTAGCTTCTTTGTACAGACTTAGAACCTTCCCAAAGATTTCATCTTTTTACATCATATTTCTTAAAAATTTAATGGGTGTATGTTGTTTTCTTATGCCTTTAGCTCAAGCAACATGTAACTCAACGTTAACTTTTTCTTTCTTAGATATAGCAAAAAAGGACATTTTTTTTCTTTTTTTTTTTGAGAGTTTTTTGCTATAGGGTGTGTGCACTCACCAGAAAGACAGAGAGAGAAAGTGAGAAAAATCCACCCCCCCCCCGCCCCCGCCAGAGGGGATGGCCACACCGATATCCCTTCTCCTCCATTCTCCTCTTGGGATCTTGGGCACATGCTCCCGGCATGAGTTTAAGCCACCGGGTCCGGGACCCGAACTGCGGTTGACTACATGGGAGTCCAGTGACACAGCCATTATGTCAACTGCTGGTCCCAAAAAAGAAAATTCTTTAAAGAAAGAAAAGGATTCAATAATTTATTTTCCCTAATGCTTTCTTGAAGGACAGGGGCTTCCCCTATGAAATCGTAGTAAACAGTTACTGGCAATCTGTGCAAAGCAGCAGTCAGCCTTAAAGTAGTCCATTCTGGCTTAAAGGCTGGAACAGTGAGTACTAGTGAAATCCTTTTGGCTGCTTTTTGTTTCTTTGAATCAAAATACAAGATGACAGAATTCACAAATTTGTTACATGTTACTACTTGGTGTGCTGATCATCATTTAAAAGTAAAACACTCTCATTCAGGAAAAAAAAGAAAAAAAGTCCCAGTGTAGAGTCTAACAGGATCTGATAAAGCAACAATTTCATGTTGAGGAAAGCAAATTACTCAGTGAGATTAGCAGTTGGCTCGCCATTTGGAAACAGATAAAAAGTATCCATATCTCCTTCCATATACCAACATACATTTTGAAAGAATACACTATTTAATGCAAAATAGCATATATAATAAAGATTTCATAGTTAAAAGTATTTTCAGAAAAAGATTTAGAGGATAGTGTAAGAAGCTAAAATGGAGGACTACTAGGTGGTGTGGTGGTTAGGACACTGGACTTGTTAACGGATGGGAGAATGTGGAGCTGCATTGTGAAGTCCTTGGTTCTTTGGGTCCAGATGACTAAAATTAGAGATCTGTCCCTAGGTGCAAAATGAAACCGCAACCACAAATGCAGTAGGTAGAAAAGAAGATTTAATAGGAAAGAAAGAAAAGAAAGAAAAGTACACCCCAAAAGGTTGTTGGTTGGGCAGATTGCCAGGTGGCAACCGCGTTTGATACTGGTTAATTGTTACTTTTATTACTAGAGGTGATCATGAATATTTATTAGCGGGAGGTCTGTCATATTACCTATGTCCTTCGTTTGAATTCGAATCCACGTGTTTCCTCCTGCACCCTTGCGCACTTTTCTCACAGATAAGGAATGAGGAATTTGATGACCTAATTGCGCATGCCCAGTGTGAGCCAGGTTGTTTAATTAGACTGCCTAATTAATTTATTATCCTAGTGGGAATTAGGGCGTTGATGAAAATGCTTACTTGGGGATTAGGGTGTTGACTAAAATGCTTGCTTGGATCTTTTTGATAGGAGAAAAAAGTCTAGGAATCATCTCTGTATGCTTCCCTCAGGCCCCAAGGAAGGAAGATGGCAAATTGCCTCGCCCTCCTGGCGCCCGGAGCTAGGTGAGCTTTTCCCTTTTCTCTTAGGGCTGCCCGCTCATGACTAACTACCTGCCTACCACGGACTCCCACATGGCCGACCACAGTTTGAGTCCTAGACCCACGGCTTGAAAATTACGCTGTGTGTATGTGCATGCATGTCCAAAATTCTGAGAGAACTGAAAGAGAAGTGATTGTAGCGAGGCCATCCCCCAGGAAAGGGGATTTCTCAGTTTCCCTCCCTCTCCTTATCTCTGTGTCTCTCTCTGGTGAACTCATGCATTCTATGGCAAAAGCACTAAAAAAAAATTCCTGAACAGGAGCCCCAGCAACTTGAAAAGCACAACTGGAGGGTGCTTTTGCCCTCTCCCTCTCTGTCCACAAAGTCCCAAGGAGTCTATGGTCAACGATTTGACCCTCCTCTGAAATATCTGATCGCCTCCAGCTTACTTTGAAATGTACCACATTTCTAAAAGTTGGAAATCTAAAATCCAAAACACTGAATCCCGGCTCAGTCAGACACTTGAGACCAGATTATCATCAGCATTCTCTGACAGTGTGCACAGGGAACTTGGAATGTGAAGTGCAAACAGCCCCTCAGGGCTTCCCTTCCAAGCAAGGCAAGAAGACTAAGACCTCCATTGTCTTTGCTATAGGGTGTGGGCACTCCCTGGAGGGAGGGAGAGAGAAGGGAAAAGAGAAAGCACACTGCAGAGGGGGTGGCCACACCGCAGTTACTTTTCCTCAGGGTTTTCAGCTGTCAGCACTGGCCCAGCATGTTTTGAAAGCCACCAATCTAGAACTGAATGGCAGGCCATGGGGGGTCCAGTTGCCTTAACCACCACACCACTGGCTGGCCCAGCCCTCCATTATCTTAATTGCTGGTTTAGAATTTTAGGTTGATAAAATTTTTAATTTTGCCAGAGGGGGCATGCACTCCTGGAGATAAGAGAGAAAGATCCCCCTGGGGATGGGCCATGCTGCAATCCCTTCTCTATTTTTCCCTCCTTTGAAGATTTTGGGTACACAAACACAAACATATTTTTCTAATCACTAGGTCCAATTGTGCATTTGGTCACTGTGGGATCCAGTCACCTTAACAACCACACCCACCAGCTGGCTAAGTAGATTTTACTGATAATTGCACTAATCTGATCAACCTATTTTGTGGGCTCTCACAAAGTTGCCTACTACCTTATTTTTATCTCCTGTATTCAATATTACAACATTATCATTTCAATGCTATAATAATGCTCTTTTTAATTTTTTTAGAGAGAGATTTTTTTTTTGCTGTATCGCTCACCTGAGAGACAGAAAGCGAGAAATCACCCCAGGGGGGGATGCACACTGCAATCCCTTCTCTGTTCTCTTGGGATTTTGGGCACACACACACACACACACATGCCTAGCATGAGTTTTAAGGCGCCAGGTCTGAGACTCGAACCATTGTGGTCAACTACATGGGAGTGCAGTGACGTACAATACTATCATAATACTCTTAATATCCATAAATTGATACCAGTGATGCTAATACAATTCTAGTTCTCCTCAACTTGGCTTTGTTTTTTGACTATAATTATATATTATATTAGATTTCTTATTGTAATAGATAATCTTTACGTTCAGTGACTTTTGTGCACTCCCCAAATGGACTGTTACCTCTTCTTGCTCTTCTTCATCATATTCCTCCTGTTCTTCAGCGTCTTCATCCTCATCCTCATCGCCTTCTTTACTCTTATCTTTGCTTCCTTCTTTCTCCTCGTTTTCCTCATCTGATTTTTCACCATCATCTTTCTTTTCCAGTTCCTGGTAAGTGAGTGTCATTAGTTTAGTTGGAAACATCTAGATTTTATCCTCCCTACCCAGACTTTAGGAGAACACAGTTACCTATTGAAAGGGCACATTCAACACCTCCCAGGCATGAAATGAAAGGCAGGTTCAGAGCCCCCCAGGTGCCTCAGGCATGTTCTTGTTTAGGGATCAACCCTTGGCTAATCCTCTCTTACCTTGGGCCCTGCGGAAGGTAAGGCAAAATCTACAGGCAGGGAGAAAAGTCTAAAGGGCCAAACCCCTCTGGCAGACCCAGTGAAAAGGGACGTGCCCCAGTGCGGAATTCCTAGGGATCAGAGGAAGATTTCTACCGGAAAGGTGGAAAGAACTGGGGCTGCTTAATCTTACTGCAGATGGTAAGAGAGAACAGAGAGAACAACAAACAGCCCAGCTGTAAAAGCCCACCTGGCATGCTGAGGAAGGAAAGCAGGGGAGTGGGAACCCACCGGATGGAACCTCCTCATTTCTCAGCTAACAGTACAACCTCACACTTCCTTCTGCCAAATCCACGTTATTAAAAAGCGAGAGAAGTTTGCATGTTTAAAGAAAGTGAAAGGCGGTAGGACCTTTTACATTCTGCAGTTCACTTTTATGGTAAGAAGGAAACCTTACCTCGATTCTTTTCAACACATCTGCAGTATCAGTGACGGAGCTTCCTTTGACTGTATTTTTTGCCTTCTGGGGTTTGGCGCCTGCTGAAGTAAAACTACCTGTTAACACATTTTTCTATAATAGCACCTGTGAGCCAGTTCCTTTTTTTTTTTTCCACAGGCTGTCAAGCATAGTGCTATGTCCTAACAGGCAGTCCCATAATTTTCAGAGTGAATTCTGTTTTCTCAAGGAATACACAAACAATCAGACCTCACTAATTTTCCAACACACACATAAATGACAATCAGTTAATCCAAAGTTACTTAAGACTGTAATCAGACATATTTTACTCATACTGAAAATTTATACTGGGGGTCCAGCAGGTGACTTGATGGTTAAGGCACTGGATCTTACATGGCCACATGCACAATTTGGGTCCTAGACCAAGTGGCTCAAAAAACACAGCAGGCGCATGTGTGTGTGTGCCCAAAATCCTGAGAGGAGAATGGAGGGGAGGGATTGCAGTATGGCCATCCCCTGAGGGCAGAGGTCTCACCTTCCCTCTATCTCCGTGCCTTGCAAGTACGAGCACACTATGGAAAAAATCTAAAAACAACACAACAAAAAGAAAAAGAAAGAAAAATTTTATTGGCAATTAGTGTCATTAAGGCCCCAACTATGAAAAAGTTACCTCTGCTACCCCAGCACTGTGTACCAGTGAGGGCTCTGACAAGCCCATCTGCACTGGCTTCCTGGTCACTGAGCAGGGTACTGCATTTCTGGCGTAAGGCTATTGTGCCAGACTTAGAAAAAGAAGCTGAGGAAAAATATAAACTTGCCAATGATGAAGAGATGAGAAAAAGATTATATTCTGAGTAATACTGAACCATCTTTGGAATGAAGATTAAAATGGTTAAACTGGGGACCAGCAGTGAGCGTAATGGCTATGTCGCTGGACTCCCACATAGTCGACCACGGTTCGCGTCCCGGACCCGGTGGCTTAAAACTCACACCAGGTGCATGTGCGTGCGTGCCTAAGATCCTGAGAGGAGAAGGGATTGCGGTGTGGCCATCCCCCCTGGGGGGTGATTTCTCGCTTTCTATCTCTCTGTCTGTCTGGCGAGCGCACGTGCCCTATAGCAAAAACTTCTCCAAGAAAAAAAAAAAAAAAGGTTAAACTGAACATACCTGTCATATGAATCTGAAAACTCAAGGCATATAAACAAAATAGAATGTTTTATTATTATAATTATTTTCAGTTTGCTAGATGGCCCATGCACTCACTAGAGAGACAGAGAAAAGGAAGAAGCACACACATTCCTACTCCCCCTATAAGGAAGTGGCCCCCCCAGCAAGCCCTTCTTTAACTCTCCCTCACTTTGGGATTTTAGACACACACACCTAATGTGTGCTTTTTTTATTATCTTTTTGCTTATTTATTTTTAGGTTTTACCATCGATTGCATGCGCTAGCCACAGAGAGACAGAGAAAAGTGAGAAATCACCCCCGAAGAGGGATAGTCACTCCACGATCCCTTCTTTTCCATTTTCTGCTCCAGATTTTGGGCATACAAATGCGCATGACAGGATTTTCAAGCCACTGGATCTGGACTCAAACTGAGGTCAGCCAACTGGGAATCCAGAGCCTTAACCACTATGCCTGCCACCTGCTGGCCCTCCGGTGTGTTTTTAAAGCCACTGCATAGTCGGTTATATGGGACCTGGCTCCCTTAACCACAAAGCCACAGGCTGGTCCTAAATAAAATGTCTTAATAGCTTTGGAATACTTATTTTTTTTTTACCCATCACAAAATATTTTATCTTGAAGCTATTCTGAAACTGCAAGGAATAGAGAATCACTTCAGACATAGATCCTACCAGTCAGTTACCAAAGTATTATAAGCTACAAAACTGAACCATTGTGAGGACCAGCAGATGGTATAGTGGTTACGCTGCTAGACTCCCATGTAGTCGACTGTGGTTCAAGTCCCAGACTTGGCAGCTTAAAACTCACTCTAGGTGCATGTGTGTGAATGGAGGAGAAGGGATTATGGCGTGGCCATTCCCCCTGGAGGATGATTTCTCACTTTCTGTCTCTGTCTCTCCAGCAAGTGCAAATGACCTATGGCAGAAAAAAAAAAAATCTCTCTCTAAAAACAAAAAAAAAAAAGAACAAAAAAATTATAATGTTGTGATCAGACAGTACTATATTTCTTTTCCAAAGCGAGACTAAATACCTAGAAATTACTTGGTAACAGAGGAAAACATGGCTCAGAAATATGTAATTTTGGGGAACCAGCATTTAGCATAATGGCTATGTCACTGGACTCCCACGTAGTCGACCGCGGTTCGTGTCCCGGACCCGGTGGCTTAAAACTCACGCCGGGTGCGTGTGCGTGCGTGCCCAAGATCCAGAGAGGAGAATGGAGGAGTAGGGATTGCGGCGTGACCATCCCCCCTGGGGGGTGATTTCTCGCTTTCTGTCTCTATGTCTCTCTCTGTCTGTCTGGCGAGCACATGCGCCCTATAGTGAAAATCTCTCTAAAAAAAAAAAAAAGAAATATGTAATTTTGTTAAAGATTAACATTTAACCTATGGAAAAGAAATTCTTAGATTGTGGTGGAGGATCCATAACAGATGGAAGTATAATTTATTTTATTACATCAAATTGCCCCTTGGGAAGTCAGTGAGCTCAGAACTTCTAAATATATACATTAGTGAGATTTGTTCAAAGAAAAGCAGCAGTTAGATTTAGCGATAACTTTGCCCTCTTTGATGGCAGAACTGTAATACGACCTGTAGTACATAAAACATAGAATCATCGGGGTCGCAGATGGCATGGTGGTTCAAGGCGCTGGACTCCTACATAGCCAACCGCTCCTGCCTTTCCCTTCCTCACTCACTCTGCCTCTGTCTGGCCAAATTTAAAAATAACAACAGGGAACCAGCAGTTAGCGTAATGGCTATGTCGTTGGATTCCCACGTAGTCGACCGCAGTTCACGTCCCAGACCCGGTGGCTTAAAACTCACGCTGGGCGCGTGTGCGTGCGTGCCCAGGATCCCGAGAGGAGAATGGAGAAGAGATTGTGGCATGGCCATCCCCCCCGGGGGGTGATTTCTCGCTTTCTGTCTCTATGTCTCTGTCTGTCTGGCGAGTGCATGCGCCCTATAGCGAAAACCTCTCCAAAATAATAATAATAATAAAAAAAGAGAATTAAATAAATAATTAATTTTTAAAAAAGAATAAATGAAATCATCAATGAGGGGGGACAATGAAAAATATATGGAAAACAAGGACTTAGTACACGTTTTTCTGGAACAAAAATTTGATTCCATGCATAGTTTCTTCATAACATGCATTGTCTAAGACGTCTTTCTCTTTTTTTCAGGTTTTTGCTATAGGCATGTGTGCTCACCAAAGAGAGAGGGAAATTAAGAAAGCAGACCCCTCACTCCCCAACCCCCACCAGGGGAGATGGCCACGTCACAATCTTTTCTCTTCCAATTCTCCTTTTGAGATTTTGGGCACCTATGCACGTGCTCCCAGGATAATTTAAGCTGTTGGCCCAGGATTTAGACCATGATCAGCCATGTGGAAGTCCATCACTTTAACTACCATGGCTCCTGCTGCCCTCATCCATGAACTTTCTGAAGACCTCCCTCATATGAATAAGATCTCACTAAATATAATATTGATACCAAAAAACATTAGCCAAGAATGTAATTCACTCACATCCCAATGGAGTCTGGTCAACGCTGCAATCCTTTTTGCCCTCCAATTCCTTATCCTGTCTGGATCCCAGTACACATGCGTGCTAAGTGTGTTTTTCAAGCTGCTAGGGTTGGGATGCAAATTCTACTTGACCAAGTGGGATCCAGCTCCCACTGAACAGCACTTAATTACTGCATTATGGGGCCAGACAAAAAAATTACTTTTTTTTTTAAAAAAAAGAGAGACATTTGCTATGCTGTGCATTCGTCTGCTGGTAGAGAGACAGCAAGTGAGAAATTATCTCCCAAATAGGATGGCCATGCCACAATTCCTTCTCCTCCATTCTCCTCTTGGGATTTTGGGCACGTATATTCCAGTGTGAGTTTTAAGCTGCCGGATCCAGGACTCAAACTGCAGTCGAGGGACCAGCAGTTGGCATAATGGCTATGTCACTGGACTCCCATGTAGTCCACTGCGGTTCGTGTCCCGGACCCGGTGGCTTAAACTCATGCCAGGCACGTGTGCGAGCATGCCCAAGATCCCCAGAGGAGCACGGAGGAGAAGGGACTGTGGCATGGCCATCCCCCTGGGAGGTGATTTCTCGCTTTCTATCTCTCTGTCTCTCTCTTTCTGGCCAGCACCTGCGCCCTAAGGCAAAAATCTCTCAAAAAAAAAAAAAAAAGAAATGGCAGTCGATTACATGGGAGTCTAGTGACATAACCATTACACCTTCTGCTAGTCTCAATATTACTAATTTCTTAATCAAAAAGCTGTGATTCCAGTTCACTTGACATTTGTTGCTACTTATCATTCTGCTTTTACCTAATGCTTAATCTCTCTAAGTGGGGGAGAAGTGCCAAATTATCAAAATTGTTTTACCAAAACACTAAAATGAATGTTTTTCTATATTTAGCTTAATGAATGCATATATAATTTTTTTGTTCGTTTAACACATATTCTTCAAGAAGCAAACTTTTCTAGCCTTGACTCTTTTGGTGTTACTTACTTTTATCTAAGTCAGTGGAAGCCATCTTAACAAAAGGGAGAATACAATCAAGAACAAAACATGGCAGTTACACAATGCACGATACCAAATATTAAATCAGAATGAAAAACGTTGTGCTGCTGTTTCAACAACTAGAAGTCCTGATACACGGCAAGCTTTCACCAATGATTAATTTGTGTATGAAGCTCCAGGGATCAGTGGTCCAGGGGACATATCTGAAAACATTAATTCTTCCAAACATTCTTTCCTATTCTTTAAAGTCTGTTATAGATTTGTGATTTGCTAGGGCCTGACCACCATCCTGCATACACATGTATATTATGAAAATAATATATTTGCCCAATAAAAGCTAAGGGTATAGGGCAGGCCTTATAGCCCAGTGGTGAAGGGAGCCAGATCTCACATGGCCAATTATGGTTTGAGTCCAGGCCTGCAGCTTGAAAAATATGTCAGGCAAATGTACATAAACATGCATGCCCAGAATGCTGGTGGGATGAAGAAATATAGTAAAAAGAATTACAGCATGACCATGCCTCATTAAGGGGTGCTTTCTCTCTCTCTGTTTCTCTCTTTCTCTCTAGAGAAAGCAGCACCCTCAAGCAATTAGAAAAAGTGCTCAGAATACTGGGCATAACTCAGGTTGACAAATCCACATTAATAAAACATAAGCAATAACTTTTTCCTACCTGAATAACTATTATATTAGTCAATGTACCTTTTTTGCTTTTCCTTGGCATCATTTCTCTTGGAAGTCTTCTCCAATCTGTTTGTACAAAAGAAATACATAAATTGCAATTTCCGGTGGTTCAGGTAGTTGGATCCCACATGATCAACTGTGCAGTTTGAGTCCAAATGCAGAAGCTTGAGAAATATGCCAGGTGCATGTGCGTGTGTGCCCAAAATCCCAAAAGGAGGGAGAGACGAAGGTGAAGGGATTGTGGTGTGACCATGCCCGATGAGGGGTGCTTTCTCACTTTTCCTCTCTCTGTGTTTCTCTGGCAAATGCACGTGCCCACTGGCAATTTTTTTTTTAATTGCAATTTCCACTAGGTATCAATTTGATACTAGACATAATTATTTGAAAAACCTAATGAGGGACCAGCAGATGGCATAATGGTTATGTTACTGGGCTCCCAGGTAGTTGACTGTGGTTCAAGTCCCAGACCTGGTGGCTTAAAACTCACACCAGTTGCATGTGCGTGCATGCCCAAGATCCTGAGAGGAGAAAGGAAGAGAAGGGATTGCAGCATGGCCATCCCTCCTGGGGGGGGGGGAATGATTTCTTGCTTTCTGTCTCTCTCTGTCCCTTCAGCAAGCACACGCACTTTACAACAAAAATTACTCTGAAAAAAAAAAAAAGAACATGAGACCAGCAGTTAGCGTAATGGCTATGTCACTGGACTCCCATGTAGCTGACCATGGTTCTAGTCCTGGACCCAGTGGCTTAAACTCATGCCGGGGGCATGTGTGTGCATGCCCAAGATCCTGAGAGGAGAAAGGAAGAGAAGGGATTGCAGCGTGGCCATCCCCCCATGGGGGTTGGATTTCTCGCTTTCTGTCTCTCTGTCTCTCTGTCTTTCTGATGAGCACACACTCCCTATGCAAAAAAAACAAAAAAAGAAGAACATAGTGAGGGTGAACTTGTGACTAAGGTGGCTGGAACCTACATGCCTAACTGTGCAGTTCAAGTTCTAGACCCGGCAGCTTGGGGTTACAAAAAATGAAAAAAAGCATACGTAATAATAGTTGCCTATAAAATTAAAATAAAATTTCTTTGTATTTTACTACAAAGATTAAGCCTGAAATATAAGAAAACAAATATTAACATAACAGTGATATATCATTATTTTATCCTACAAAGAAAAAGTTCATAAAAAATACCTTTGAGGGGACCAGCAGGTGACGTGGTGGTTAAGGCGTTGGGTACTCACACATGGCTGACCACAGTTTGAGTCCTGGAACTGGTGGCTTGCTTGCCCTCTCTTTCTCTGTGTCTCTCTCTGATCAAATTAAAATAAATGAATGAATAAATAAAATTAAATAAATAATTCTTAAAACAAATCTTCAAAATACTGCTATAAAATTTATCTGGAATAAAATTCTTTGTGGGTGTTAGGCTTACAACTGTTTTTCTTTTTCAAAGAATTATTTTATTTAACTTTATTTATATACTTGAATTTGACCAGAAAGGGACACAAAGAGGGAGGCCAAGTCAAAAAGCAAGCTGCCAGGTCTGGGGCTTAAACTGCAGTCGGCCATGTGGAAGACTAGCTCCCTTAACCACCACATCATTTGCTGGCCCCACAAATGTTTTTCTTAAGTAGTTTTTTATTTGACTAATTATAAAAACAAGTTTTCTGAAGTTGATATGCATTTCTAATGTAATAAAGTATGTGACACAATCTCAACACATACAAAATAAAATAACAATTCGAATGATTATCTGAAACCTTTAGAATTTAAAATATAAATAGCTGTAGGGACCAACAGATGGCATAATGATTATGCTGGTAGACTTACATAGTCAGCTGCAGTTCAAATCCTAGACCCGGTAGCTTAAAACTCACACTGGAAGTGTGTGCGTGTGTGCCCAAAATCCCAAGAGGAGAGTGGAGAAGGGGTTGCAGTGTGGCCATCCCCCCAGGGAGTGATTTCTACCTTTCTCTTTCTCTGCTTCTCTGGCATGCACATGTGCCCTATAGCAAACATCTTTCTAAATAAATAAATAAAATATGTATTTTGTATATGTATATAAAATGTGTGTGTGTAGATATATGTATGTGTGTATATATATGTATATGTGTTTATATATGTGTTTATATATGTATATATAAAATCTGTAATAAATTCCGTCCAATAAACAATTCTGTCGACACTGGCTAACTAATTCTTTTTTTTTTTTTTTTTTTTTGTGGGAGATATTTTTGCTGTAGGGCACATGCACTCGCCAGAGACAGAGATGAATAGAGAAACAGAAAGTGAGAAATCACCCCCCCAGGGGAGGATGACCACACTGCAATCCCTTCTCTGTTCCCCTCTCAGGATTTTGGGCACGCACACAAGCCCATTATGAGTTTCAGGCCATCAGGTCTGGGACTCAAACTGTGGTTGGCCACGTGCGAGTCCAGTGCCTTAACCACTATGTCACCTGCTGGCTACACTTTACCTTTTAATTTTTAAGCATAAACAGAAAATTCAAGCAACATAAAAATGGATTAAAAGAAATGACTGCTAACAAAGAAATCTGTATGTTTATACAAAACACGTTCACATCACTTGAACCAATACTTTTTTGTCAGAGGTTCCTGTGCTCACCAGAGAAAATCACAGAAACAGAGGGGTAAAGGAGGGGAAAGGTCATACCACAAGCCCTTCTCCTCCAGTTCTCCATCCTGTCAGGATTTTGCACACACACACATACCCAGCATAATTTTTTTTCTTCTTCGCTGCATATGTAAGCGTGTATATACAATACATACATACATACATACATATATATATATACATATATATATGTATGTATATATATATATATATGTTTATTGTTATTACTATTGACTATTTTTGCTCTAGGACATGTGCATTTGCCATAAAAAGAGAGAGAAAGTGAAGAATCACCCTCTACAAGTGATGGTCATGCTGCAATCCCTTTTCCTCCAGGGATTTTAGGTACACATGCACACGTACCTGGAGTGCCTTTCCAGCTCCCAAGTCCAGGACATGAACCTGCACAGTTGGTCATCTGGGATCAGCCACCTCAACCTCCACATGACCTGCTGGCCCCAATATCCGGCATGTTTTCAAAACCACTGGAGCCAACAGTCAGTCAGTGGGATCTGACTCTCTTAGCCAGTAGGCTACATGGTCAATTTTTGAAGCAACAGCTCTGAATATATTTCAGTTTCTATAAACTACTCATAGAAAATCATGAGAAAGAACAGAAACAGATAGGGCCAGCATATGGTGTAGCGGTTATGTCGCCGGAATCCTACACGGCTGACCATGGTTCGAGTCCCAGAACCAGTGCCTTGAAACTCAAGAAACTCAAGCTGGTGTGTGTGCGCACATGTGCGCATGTGCATGCCTAAGATCCAGGAGAAGATTGAAAGAAAGGGGATTCCGGTGCAGCCATCTCCCTCAAGGGATGATTTCTCACTCCCCCCCCCCGCCACACTGTTTTTTTCTCTCTCCCCAGTGAGCACACGTGCCCTAAGGCAAAAAAAAAACAAAAACAAAAACAAAAAAAAACCCTCTAAAAAAAAGAGAGAAACAGAATCATTTGAGAGATTATTACTAATGAAATGCAAGAAATAATAAACCTGAGAGAATGTGCAGAGGGACCCCAATCTTATCAACAATTAGCAGTGAGAGAGCAGAGCAATGACCTGTGAGAGCTATATTGCCATTACTGCTTTTACATAAGGGCAGTTTCTAAAACACCAGGGGTAGAGATGCGAAAGGAGAGTGAATTAAAATGTGGGAACCTAGGTTTCCAAATGACCCTCATGTCACTTTATTTCACTGAAATTGTTTTTATTTGCAAAATGAACCAGCTGGTTGACAACTCTTCTACTGCCCCTTCTACCTCTTCTACATCTAAGGTAAACTTTCCAATGTCAAATGCAAAGTTCTCTTAGGGATAGTCCACAGTGAAAAGGCCCTTTAACTAACAATAATCTAGGGGCCAGCAGGTGGTGCAGTGGTTAAGGCACCACACCTCTACATGGCCGATCACGGTTCAAGTCCTGAACCTGGAGGCTTGCTTTCTCAATTTTTCTCTCTCTCTTTCTCTCTGGTGAGCACATATACCCTATAGCAAATTAAAAAAAATAATAATAAATAAAATTAAATAAAAAAAAATTTTTTTTTTGAGAGGTTTTCGCTATAGAGCGCGGGCGCTTGCCAGACAGAGAAATAGAGAC